CTCTTGTCCCTTTACTTTTTAGGTTGAACACTCAAGAGTTGCACCGTGTTTCAGTTTTTTCGTTCCTTGGTTGTAACTTTGGAAGTTTGGCTCCATTCTTTCATTTAGTGGCCCACTTGAAACTCAAATTCTACTCCACTATCCTTAGACATGTGGTATATGATATGTAGCATATAAAGGGTTTAGGGTCCACTTCATAATTATCCTATAGTATAGGATAAAGGGTGAAAACCACATGTGCTACATCCACCAAAGAAGACTTCCTTGAAGCACCACCACCACCAACCTTGAGTATCTCAACACACTCTCCCATCATAGTCATTATGCCATGCATCTTCTCTTGCATCTCTTGCTAATTTTTGTTGAGGGCTTGCAGCTTATACAAAACATCATGGGTAATCCAAACCTCTGTAGCTTCATTAGTTCCACTATTGTGACCACCTTCGTCATTAGGATTCTAGCATTTCTATTGGTCAGCCATCACAACCAACCTCCCTTTGATACCAATGGAGGAAGGAGCCTCACCACTCAATTCTTGCCTAGAGGTCTCCTCACTAGGATCCTCCTCCAGCACCAAAACCTCATCCATAGGTTCCTCCATCGGTTCTTGTTCCATAAGAGGCTTGTCCTCCACTATAGTATGGGTTTGGGAGAGCAATTGAGGAAATTACTGAGAAATGGCTAACACTCTTGTATGTATGTAATAACTAGCTAAGCGAGTAAGGATCCAGTAGACAGTGGTACCTAGAAGTGGACCTTGGCAAAGGGATCTTATCTATAGCTAAAGTGAAGGTGGTGGATTGATGGGAAATGTAGTTGAACTTTAAGTCCTAAGTTCCTGGGAAGGGTTTTGCTCTGGCATAGCTATCACTAAGTGATCTGCTTTTATTCTTTGCTAGAATTAAGGATAGAAATGAGTCAATAATTTGCTTGAAAAAATTTATGGTTTACAATTTGGTATTGAAGCCTCTCATGCACAAGCAAACCAAGCATTCCAAGCCTCTAGGATCCTAACTTCCCAAGGTTCCACAAAACTTGTTCATAGACCACTTTAACGTCCCAAGTCTTTAGGTGTGTTGCACACTTTGGGACCTTGGGAAGAAACACTATTGCCTAAGGGTCATGGCATATGCACCTCACTCTCCACCTCGGAATCTGAAAGGAAGGTTGTTATGTACCAATTTTGACCACATGGTCAACGTGAGTCAAAGGTAAGCTCAAGGCTATAGGGGATTTATCTTACCCTAAAAGCTCACAATGGCGGTGGCAGTGCGGTCAAGCTTTTGAGATAGCTTGAAGGTGGTTGGGTGGTGAATAATCTAAAGAGGAAGTGTATCTTTGACTAGGGCTAGGCCTCTTTATTTTTGCTATTTAGTGCAATGGTATTAGAGGAGTTGGTTGCAATGGCCAACCAAGAGGAATGTTGGAGTTCTAATGACAAAAGTGGTGTCAGTGGTGGAGCTGACAAAGCTATGGGGGTTTGGACTATCCATGATGTTGTGCATGAGTTGCGAAAGGAGATGCATGGCATGATGGTTACAATGGTAGAGTGTGTTGAGGTACTCAAGGCTAGTGGTGGTGGTGCTTTAAGGAAGCCTTCCTTAGTGGATTGACTTATGATTGTAATTTTTTCAGTGATGGTGGTGTGGATAAATGTTTAGCTTGACTAGCTGATGTGAAGAAGTTTTTGGCTGCCTAAAGAGCTCTAGATGCAAAGGCTTTAGTGGTTATTCCAATGGTTTTGCGAGATACGAGTCTTCAGTGGTGGAATTAACTTGAAGAGTCTTGCGTTGCAAATAAAAAACCACATGTGTTTACTATGGATGAGTTTGAGAAACAACATATCATACCCAAATAATCTGGTAGCCACTAATTTAATGCTTTACCTATTATTTCACGATGGCAAATTTAATAAGGGAGAGAAAATTACATGTAAAGTTTCCTGGTAAAATGCTAAATAAACTGAATATTGGTCCAAAAAGTTTTTATGCCAAGAAGAGCAGAGGGAAGCAATATTGTCCTGCTTCAACAAACTGTGCAACAACCTTGTAGAGTATCCACTATGATAAAGCTTGTGTTGAAACTATAATCCACCTTGGAGTGGTCACCCACTCACACCTTTGTAACTTAAATATTTATGGATCTCTTAATTAATTTTTTAATCACTGCATCTAATAATATTTATGGACTTTTTTATTACCAATTTTCCTTTTACATACTTCCCATATACCTATATACTTAGAGCAAATTTCCATTCATTATCATTTGGCTTACGGCCCCAACAGAGCTCTCTAATGATTGTCCTTGGACGGATTTATATGTCCATTTATGATATCCGCAATCTCCTGGGCTGCCCGGCCCTTTGCCTCTGCCAGGATATGAGCATCAGCAATCACGGAATTACTGATGACCTCAACGGTAAAGCGGACGATCTTCAGCTCAGCAGACACACACGTAGTCTTGCCGCTGCGGTTCCTCTCCAAGTTGACACTACTCCAGTACATTGTCGTTTGGGGATTGCGAGCACGGCCCTGGAAAGAATATGAAGTATAGAGTGAACGCCTGTAGCTGCCTTCTACTGTAGAATCCATGGCATGGGTTGCATTCTTGATCATTTGGATCACGCCCGCACCAGCTTTAGACGGGTCAATAGCAGTCTCCTGTATGAAGTCATGCACCGTTGACAGTAACTGATTATAACTTGACTTGTTCTCGATGGCGATGCTGCTTGCTCCTGCAAACTTAACATACTGCGGGAAAGTGGACACCAGGATCTGGAGGAATTTGGCAAAATCCTCCGATTGTTTGTTGGCCTGGTCTGTAAGCTCCGTCAGTAGTGGAACATATTTAGCAATAGACATCGCTGTGGCAATAAAGGTGGCAAGGACGTCAGTGTGGTACTTGGGGTTTCTGTAGAACTCCAGCTGTGACGACGCAGTGTCATCAGGACCATTCACAACTTCGGCCCCAGGTGCAACAATGTCATTATTTGTCGGTACTTCTATCACTACTGACAGGGGTTGAGATGAGCGGATGTAGCTGCGAGCTTTTGAAATCATGGCAGACTTAGTGAAAACCTGTAGGTTGTGTCGAGCCTCGTCCTCACTGAGAAGCTGTGGTAGGCTTCCCATTGTTCTGCTCTTGTGGCCTGCTCGAGCTTGACTGAGAAAGAGAAGAAAGTCAATAGAAGAGTTGCTCTCCTGCAAAGAGGGAATTGTTCAAGATCTACCTGCAGAAGCACACTTGTGAGAATAAGGTTTGAGAGGGGAAAGAAAGACTGAACACACAATTGCTGGACGTGAAAGGAGATCAAATAACAGGCCTTGGTGTTAACCGTGATGGATCACTGGGATCTTTATAGCTGGAGCTCAGAATTTGGTAGTATGTCAACTTTGAACATGTGACATTATCAACAGCCAGATCTGTGCTGCATAATAAAAGTGAGTCCATTTGCAGAGACTGAAAACAAAATTGCATTGGTATACTCTAGGCATGCTTATAGCATGCACCGTCATTCTTTAAGCTCATGTCCTTGATCATTCATGACACATTTGTTTTGCATGTACTCGTCAAGGGCAGAGCGGTCATTCCAGCTATTGACGACGTACGTACCCTTGCAAAAAATAAAAAGATGGACCAACAGTTCTAGCCCTTGTCTGGACCTAGATGCCATAATTAATGATTTAGAAATAATTAATTATGCCAGAGGCAACCATTAATATTTGTCAGGACACCCTAAAGTGATAAGAAAGTGATGTTTCACCATCATTTCCTATAAGTGAGATTGGGGCCCACTTGTAGCAGCTCTACGCCCATGTCCTTAATAATTTATGACAATGTTTTTTGCAAGGGTATGTAGGTTGGTAGCTATGATCTTGCAATCTCAACAATGAAGCTGAATTTGACCTCTTGAGGTTGTCAAAATTGGGGACCACCCATGTCCTTGACCATTCACAATTTTTTATTTTTATTTTTATTTTGCTAGGGTATGTACATACTTGTCAATTGCATCCAGTTCTTGAGGACGTGCATACCCTTGCAAAAAGCCTTTGCAAAAAAAAAAATGTCATGCTGGATGGTGTACATTTCTAGCCCTTGTCTGGTCTAATGCCATAATTAATGATTTCTGTGAGGGCTAAGGGTGTATTGGTTATGCCAAGCAAGATTTGACATGAAACCATAGGATTATTTTTAAAATATTCTATGGCTTGTGGGATATAAGGCTGTAACGCCTTAAGGGTTGGGAGGTTGGCATAAGGTTTGCTCGCTTGTTCGTTTCAAGATTGGGGCCCACATGTCCTTGATAATTTATAACAATGTTTTTTGCAAGGGTATATAGGTTGGTAGCTATGACCTTGCAATCTCAACAAGTATAGCATGCTGTATATTACATTGTCAATCTTTAATGTAGCGCATGTGATCATAAGATAATATTTAAATATACTGTCATCATGGATCATTAAAACCTTGGGGGATAAATAGAGATAAAATAGCCACTAAAGGCTCTTTTGTCAAGTAGGTTGTCGAAATTAAAGCCCTATATATAAACCATGTCCCTTATCATTCATGACATTTTTTTTTTGCAAGGGTATATACTTACTTGTCAATTGCAATGGGTCATTCCAGCTCTTGACGACATACGTACCCTTGCAAAACAAAAAAATGTCATGCTGGACCAGCTATGATCTTGCAATCTCAACATTGCTATAGCATAACTGTCAAAAAAGTGATATTTCACAGTCATTCCATATTGGGGCCATGTCCTTGATGATTTATGATATGTTTTTTTTGCAAGGGTACGTAGGCTGATGTATAGTTCTAGCTATGATCTTGCAATCTCAAAAAGTATAGCATTCTATTAAGAAAGTGATATTTCACTGTCATTCCTTGGAACTTCAAGATGGCCCCATGTCCTTGATCATTCATTGCAATTGACATCGTTTTTTGCATGCTCAAGCTCTTGGTGGTATATAAAGCTGGAATGACTACCCATCTGAACATCCGCTCCTTTCTCGTTGTCTCTAGATCACTCTGCTCTTTATCCCGCTTTTATATTCATGGCGCTGCCATTGCTGATGAATAACAATGAGTTCAATCACGCTTTAGAGGTGTTCAGGAACGTGAGCTCCAACTCCAAGGCGGTCTCTCGAGCACGATTCCTGCATGTTGACGCTCATGTGGCCACTGATGTAGATGTCTACATTCCTGTAGCTATTGCTGTGAACGCCCCGCCTCTTCCTGGAGCAAATGCCGAGGTTTACAAGCTACCAAAGTTCCATGTCCACGCCTTGGCAACTTTTACGGCTGTTGGAATGCAACTCGCCCACTACTCTCCAAAGCTCATCACCGATCCCGCCGAGGCCAGCCAACAGGCCAAGCATTTCCAGCAGTTTCTGACAGTGCTTGTCACCACATTCCCGCAGTATGTTTACCTCACGGCAGCGGCCAGCGAGGACATGTCTGGCAGCTGCGACACGATCTGGAAAGACGTCAGCGACTACCTGCAGCGCACCCACGACACTGAGACCGCTAACCAGATTACCAAGACTTTGCAAAAGGCGCTGCTGCACGTCCCTACGTTTGCGCACGTCGAGGACAACACTAGTGTTCGGGCGCTGTACACGCTCTTCTCCTTCAGGTCGCCAGCCACAAACCCGGAGTTAAATATGTATTGGGCGGACGCCACCATGACAAAGAAGGCGGGGAAGATCACCACCTGGGAAGCCACCATAACCATCACCAGCTTCACCGCTAAACTCAACAGTAATTCCTTGGCTGCTGACGCCAACGCCTTGGCCAAAGTAAAGGCCATGAGTGTTCAGAGCCTTGTGGAGGCGATAAACTTTTTCGATTAATACCATGAGGAAAATCTCCTAAAGAATATTCCTGTGACAGCTTTCGTGACGGTGACTTATCAGCATATACTCTTGTCAACGTTGTGATCCATTGATTGGCCTTTCCAGGAAATATCACATCCCCGATGTTCTCTACTCATCCTCTCAAATCCCAGCCCGAATCCAGAGTGCTTCACGATCCCATCGTCGCCAATCCAGTACCACTCGTATGTAGTTCTTCTACATACGAGCCTGCAAGAATCAAGCACACCATTTCAGTGGCCCGGAGGTCTTACGAAACTCTCAAATCCCCATACCTTTGCATCTGGCTCCCCAGGAGAATCAAAGCCAGAGCTCTTGAAAGTCGTGTTTTTCTTCCAGGTCGGCGAGCTTGTGGGAGGGAGCCTTTTCCCGCCTCGCGCACTAGCATGCCGCCATCTGGCCATCATCGCTATGAAACGCGTTTTGATAGTCGCATACAAAGACGGGCCCTTGGAAGAGCTGCTCTGCGAGATACCTGGAATGAGAAGATCACCAGAAAACGTTGATTTTGGTTTCCCTCTAACACACCTTTGGTGCTTGCTCCATTGCACAGGAGTTTCGAAGGGAAAGTCTTTCACGCATAAGATCACGCAAAGGAAAGAATAAATCTCGATTGCTTGTGTGTAAGTTATCCTTCCGATTTGCAGGAATGAGGAGCGGACGCCTTGTCAAGGATGCGGTCGGTGAGCACAGATCTCTGGGAGGAAATCGTCTCCAGCGGCCTCGCTAATCTCGTCATGGAAATGTATGGAAAGTGCGGCTGCTGATCGTGGCGTGAGCTTGCCGTAGACGTTGAGCAGCACTGTGGCGATGGAGATTCTGCGGTACTTGCTTGTGTGCCTCAGCTTTCAGCTTCCCAAGATCCTGGGCGAAAGCTTGCAGGAGCTGGCTGGCAGAACCTCGTGGGAGACCAGTGGGCAAATGCGAGCTCATTATCTTAGGCCAGCGGCGACGAATACCGCGTGGATCTGAGGCGTTGAATGAAGAAGCATGAGTGCCACCGCTTCTCGCATCGGGCAAATGCCGCCGTCGCAATGTTCCACGAGAAAACATCTCAATCTTCCATCTTGTGGAAGGCTCCCAAGGCGTCTGCCGCTCTTCCAGGGGGTCCAATTCAAGGACGCCGTCACCTGGATGTCGGAGTTGGCACTCTGTCAAAGGGATCAAACATTAGGTTGATTGGATAAAC